CAGGTCCTACTCAAAGCCACCTGCAATCGGGGTCCCACGATCTGGGGTCGCTGGTATTTGCTATGGGGCTCTGGCTTGTTAGCGAGAGGAATCTTAGACTCATGCAGAGCAAACATATCCTGACTTTGACCAGAACACAAAACATGAAATGTGAGTAATCGCTACTCCGAGTCATATCCTCCCGGAAATCCAGTCGCCCCTAAAAGTGAGTCCAGATCTCAGGGCCATGCTGGATACGAATGAGCTGCACGAGCACCCAGAAGTTGACAGCTGCAGCGGGCCGGGGTTTAGGGTTTAATAAAGGTTTAGGCTCTCACAACTCGGACATGCCAGGCGAGGTTCATTGGTACGGGTCGGCGTGAAACGAGTAAGAGTGAGGTTTAGGGTTTGGGGTTTAGGTTTAGGGCCTAGGGTACGTTTTGATCCCCGTTTCGTTGCGAAGTTCTCCTGCTCCATAGGATCCACAGCAAGAGAAGAAGGCGAGCCCGAAACTGAGAGGAGCCTTCCCCTTTGGCGCCCATGTCCATCACACCCACCGCTGCAGCCTCGGGTATGCAAAGGCCCGAAATTCTGGTGTAATGTTGGGCTGAAAAAGAAAAAATGGGAGTAGCCAGGGACGAAGCTTAACTAAGCAGTTCTAGTACTAGCAGCGTTGTCAAGAAGAAGACCCTGACATCTGATCGTAACTATAGTCTACAATACCCCGTGATATTCTGCTTAGCTGCGCTCTTCTCTTTTCTTCGCAGTCTTGCCTGAGACTCTGCTCGCTCAAGTTCTGTGTAGAGCGGGACTCATTGGGACTTGCGGGGGCGGGGGGGGGGGGATGGACTCGCAACTCGTTCTTCCACAGCCACACAGCCAGATTTCAGGGTTTAAGGGTCTGTCTTAAGAGACACGAGTGTGAGAAGCCTGCATGGCATGAGGGTCTTACGGCTTCAGGTCTCGCGCAGCGATGTGAGAAGTATCGACTGGGCACAGTTCCCTTCGAAAAATGCTGGCGACGTGGCAACAACGGCTTCGGGCCCGGCATGTGTGTAGGGATGACCCATGGGACAGAACAACATAGGGGAGGCTAATTATGCATGCGCTCACCTGCGCATCCTCTGCGTCAGAACAGCATACAATTGCCACGGAGCTGCGCACCATTGAATCTGTAGTCTGTGTAAGGGCGTGACTGTTTCCCTGGCTTTTTCGGTGTCGGTCAGCAACATGTTGCGCTCCTGCGTGCACTTCTGATTGACAATCACCTCTACGGGTACGGAAAAATAGACGCAGCATTAAGCCAATGGAGATCCTAATGACGAAATTGCCAAGAAGGATTTTCTTTTGAACGTATGGGGCCCCTACTTCTAAGGGGCAGTTGATCCTTAAGGGTTAGGCCACACTCAGGGGCCTCAGCGGGTCGATAATTTCTCGAAGCCGTCAATCCCCCAAGCGAACATACCACAGCAAGCCTCATCCAACCCCATACAAGCCCTGATAGAACCCTTAAAGGAACCAAGGGCAGGCACTTAATTCAACCCTACAGCCCCCAAGCCTTTAACTCAGGCCCGCAAAATGCCTACTAACTTTCTAAACCCAACACCCCTGAGCCCCAAACCCTCAACCCACTCTGCCCTATTACCTCCAGTCTCCACTCCGCCTCTGCCGTCCCAAGCGGTGGCAGCCCAAGCTTCTCCAGAAACCCACCTGGATTCGGGTTCTTTGACACTCACACTCGGACAAGCCTGGCAAGGTCTGTTAGTATTGGGTTCAAGCTCTTCCAAGTTGACTCTACCTCCCTGTCACTGTGATCACGTGATGGTGCACTGAAGCCCGCGGCCTACTTCCTTTAGCTCGAGGTTGCCGCTGTGGTTGGTATCGCACTCCTTGGTCATCCCAAGGCCAGAAAGACAATCTCGCAAATGCTCGTGATGGGTGCACTTCAGCCTACTTCATCGGCATTGCAATGTACATGCGTAGCCATGCCCGTCCTCCTGCAGTAAGCAGTACAACTCTTAGCGAAACATGTCTGCCAGTCTCTTGGTGCATTTTGAACGGCTCATTCTTCCGCAGGCTAAGCTGGACACTGCGAAGACGAGACGGAAGGAATCCAGCTCCGCGCTTGAAAACCTGCGTGATCAACGGTCAGGACCTTATCTTACCCTATTAGCCTGCGTTATACTACTATATCCTTAACATTGTTATAGTATCGTACAGCGAATGTAGCACTGTCTTGCTAAACTATACTCTATTATTTGCATTACATTGCACTACATTACATTGCAATGCATTATATCACATTATGTTATGCTGTATTATGCCGCATTACATGAAACTTGTTGAACAAGCCGCTGCAATGAGATTTGTATTACATTATAATATCTAGTGTAATTGTACTCTCTTCGGTTATATGATATCATGTTATCTTGTGAAATATCATGTTGTACTGAAATCAGATCACTGCGTGTATGTACAAGTGTCATATTACAGGTGCAGCGTTTGTGGCCTGCAGCCTTGGCATACGAGTCCTTACACCCTGGGTCCGAGCAAGTGAAACCAATCATGAAGTGCCTTGTCCGGGGTGGAGTGCTGAAGCTTTCCGGCTGCCCAACCGAAGGCAAACACACTTCATGGCGAAGGATGTTTTCCAAGCACCAAGGACCCAACTGCTGCTGTCCCGTCGTGCTGGTAAGCAACTCCTAGCTCTTCAGGCATGAACGTGCCCCCCACAAGGAAGCCGATAATATGGTCACGAGGATAATAACGGCAATCGAACAGCAGCAGCACCAGCAGTAGCACTGAGAGGACTAGTCATGGTCATACCATAAACGGTTTGCCAAAACTGTGGAACGACGATGGCGCTATACAGGGATGCTACACCATGGGACTCATGGTACCATCGCAGCAGATCCCAGGCACGCGCAAGTGTAAGCAGCGCGACAAACTGATCCTCATGCCACATCCCTTATAACATAGCCAAACCCAAAGCTTCACTGCACAAACCCAAAGCTTCTCAAAGCACAATTTTGTGCTGAAGACGCTTTCAGCTGCCGACCCTGCGCAGCGGCGCTGCTCCCTCACCTTCAAGGGATCAGGATTCGGGGCTTCCTGAACCAACCGTTCCAAAAAGGGCCTGTGCAGCAAAAGAACCGGGATGGGGACTGTAACGTGAATCATGCCGCTTACGACTTTGAGGGCAATAAGAGGAGTGCACGAGCGTGGGCAATGTCAGCTCTGCGGGATACTGGGGGATGGGGCTTGATTCTTGTTGTGTGTTGAGTCTGGGTTGGTCGATTCCGAGCTTCGAAGCGCTTTTGGGGGCCTGTGCTGAATGTTTCATGCATCGTACTCATGCTTAGACAAAGTTGCAAAGCTCAAGCGTGGTGCCAACCTTCAGATCCCACGTTGGGCCATGGTTGCCGCAGGCTTTTGGGGCATCGTGGAAGGGCCATGCTGACGCAAGGCCTTCACAATCCGATGATCGTCCACCCACTGCAGGAACCTCGGCGCATCTCCGCAGATGTGCTGCGCAGGAATAGTAGTATGAGTTCTCGCATGACTACTGCGACTGCGAGACAACTCTTTGGGCAAGCCTGCCCCTCAACTCCTCAAGACACCAAGCCTAAACCCAGAACCTAAACACTAAAGTTACTTAACCCTACGGCCTTCTACATCACAGAGGCTTTTACAAACAGTATTAGTCTACGCAATTTGATTCCAGACTCTGGAGAGAACTCCCGGGGGCCAGGGCATCTCGAAGGAAATGGCATCTCCCGAGTCCTTTCGAGGCACTGAGCTTCCACCAGCGAGAGCCGCGAGGGGAAGAGCAGAAGAGAGACAGAGAGAGAGAGAGATGGGGAGATGGAGAGGTGGAGAGATGGAGAGGTGGAGAGATGGAGAGCGAGAGAAAGCAAGCAAGAATGCGGGCAACAGAGGTTAAAGAGAGAAAGACAACGAAAGACCTGTCGCGTAGCCATGTCGAAGCCTCCTGGTATCTCCTGTTCCTAGCTGTTGAAACTCCCATAACCATTTTCCGACAGCTGGAGGCCTGATTCACCAGGAGCAGTTCCCCGTACAAAGACTCCAAGTTAAGTCGATTATGTGCCCTTCCTCGGGTTGCTGAAACATCTCTCAAACGCGCATCCGCCCGAAAACCCTCTGGAAAATCAAGGCTGGAAGCCCATCCAAAGCTTGCAGAAACCCTAAACCCCCTAAAACCCGGCCCTAAACCGATCTGCGAGGCACCTCCAGGCCCCGAATTGCATCCGCTTGAAGAGACCGCCGTCGCCCGGAGGCCTCAGCGCAAGTTCCCGAGAAGAAGAAGATGATGATGATGACGATGAAAATTACATGTGATTACGACAATATTCATGATAAACATCATGTTAACCATTAGAACCGTAGCAATAGTCACAACAACAACAAAAAATAATAAATAAATATAAGACGAATAGGAAGAATGTCGCGTTGATGATGATATGGACGGCGAAGACAGCGCTTATAAGGCTTTTGCAAGTAAGATGTTGAACAGTCAAGTGGGTCAGCTGAAGAAGCCTGTTTAGCCCATGCTGCATGCTGGATGCCATCTTGCTTTGCCGAAACTGTTACGGCGGTAGCAAACTAGAGGCTCTACAAGCCCCACAGCCTGCAAACAATTGTCTGCAGGCGCGCCTTTGCCCGCATCTTCGACAGGTTCATGGCGTCGCCTGCCGACAGCAAACGACCCACAGTCCAAAGCAGAAGGCATCCACACGAAGCGTCTTTCTGCCGAAGCGAAACTAGCAGTGAGAGCCTCATGGTCCTTTTGGCCTCACAACCCAGGACGCAGATGTTGGCTGGGATTTTCAACCTTCCTCGCGAAAACTCCGAGCTGCGGGCAGCAACTTTGGCCGCGGCTTTGGCGGCGGCTGCACCGGCCGGGTGTGAAACTTCGTAACATCGCAACTTTGGGAGCACGTCTACCGGACCCACCCAAACAAGCGAAGGAGGAAAGACCTACAGATCCAGGAACCACGATGTTACAGGTCACCTAAGAGAGCCGACGTCTGCACCGTCGCGGAGGCCTCTTCGTCTCCTGGCTGCAAGGACATTGTACAGACAGCTTAGCCTGGTTGGGGCTTTGGGCACCCCGGGTGTAAAAATAGAAGGCTCAGAGACTCAGTGTGAGCCCAGCAGAACGATCCGAAGACTGGCAATTACAACAGCACTCGCCGGAGGGGGAAGTTGACACGCCGATAGGCGTTTTGCGACCCTTGAAGACGTCTCGCTGTGCTATGACCAAGTTCGGTGTGGGAGGTCGAGTGCTCGTGTTGGCATACGGCATACTGTGCTGGTGCTCCAGAGTGTGCTCCAGTAAGAGAGAACCTTGCTGGTTGCGCGCGTGCTGTTGATTTGGTGCTCCAGAGTGTGCTCCAGTAAGAGAGAACCTTGCTGGTTGCGCCCGTGCTGTGATTCGATTCGATTCGATTCGAGGGATGTCATGGAGAATCAGTGCCTGTCCCGAGCCGTGCGGTAGTCCCCAAAAGCAAGAAGGAACGATCTAATGTTCAAGAGAAGAAGATAGCACATCCTCACCTGGCTATTAACTGAGCGGCTCACCTGCAGACTGTGGCCTCTTCCCATGTCCGGAGGTCAAGCCTGCGCTTGCAACATGAGCCTCACAACCTTCGCACCAACTCAGTCGGGCCCTCTCATCCCGTCGAAAATGCACCGTAACCTTTTCTATCTGATAATCTGATCTGTCATCAATCCATGTTCGATTCACCCAAGGCCCGCATTTTTTGAGACACCGCATCCTGAAACCGTTCGTGCTCAGGGTGTCGAAGCATGAGTTGCTGCAGGCTTGCACGAGCGCAGAGAGTCATCCGAGTACCACCCTCGTCCTGCCTAATGTGGCCTGCACGGCCGCGACGATCCTGGAGCCGACTCGCATCACTCAACCCCTTAGCACGAACATGCTGAGACGGGCCATGTTCATCTGCGGAGCCTTTGTCTGAGTTGGCAGAAAAGCACGTCCAGGCTAAGGCTCAAGGTCAGGTGGGTTGGGTCGAGCACCAGAAGTTGGTAAGCTCGATGCAATGTGCAAACCCAGGGCCCAGGAGACAAATACTCTCGTGACCGGAATGGTCTTCACATTTTCGAACGACCCCGAAGTCTTTGATGCAAGGAAGCTTGCCGCACCTCCTGCTCTCTTCGTGGATGGGGCTGCCCGGCTCGCTCCTGGCATCCGCGACTTTCGCACGTGAACCCTCCCGAAAAGTCTGACAAGACTTTCATCGTGCTGGGGCATGTAATGTAGGCTGTAGGCACCACAGCCTTAATGATTGTAATGAGTTCTATAGTGATTATAGTGTATTTTGCATCAAAACCATAAGGAACCTTCAAGGATAAATGACTAATTACTCCTGGCCCTACAAGTGCGACTGTGGAGGGGCTGTTGGCCCCGGAGGCTGCAGGCTTCAGCCGCGCACTGCTAGGAAATCCCATGTTCCGAACACACGCTAGAAGCGCTCTGCGCTCATGTTTGGTTCTGCGCAGCAGCGGCATAGGACGACGCTGCTTTTACGAGGCTCCTTTGTACTGGGCTTCTTGATTACGCACTGGTTGTCCCTAACCCTTACCCTCAAAGGGCTCATATTTTAAGGCTTTTTGGGCCCCAGAGACCCTATTACGTAAGGCTTTTGGGCTATTTTGATGCTAAGGGTAAGACGGCAATCTGAGGGCCGGGCAGGCGGAGGCCGTTCTGAAAGCTGCGCAGCGCCTGGAGCTGATCCCCCTTGGCGCCCTGGATGGAGCCTGGGACTTGGAGCATCAAGGGATTCAGGAAAAAAAAGGCATCAGCTACAGGTGGTGCTCTACAGATCCGAAGTCAGGGCCCTTAGAGCCTTTAGTTTGAGCCCCAGTTATGAGCTACCTGGCTAGAGGAGTGGCAAAAGCCTAGGAACGATTAGCGGCAGGGACAATGCGATCTCGTCCAAGATGTCCAGACAAGTACAAAACACAATCGAAAAGAAAAGGCCGGTGAAGATGCATGCCAAAGAGCAAAACAAACAGAACGACGGCAATGCAAGAACTTTTCCTGGTGGCGTTCCAAAACAACTTCTGCAGAAACAAGTGTCGCAGCCGTGATGCCAATGAAGCTGGCAAAAGCTCAAACCAGGGAAGAAGCACTGCCTGGAACCTATCGAAACGGAAGCTTCTCTAACTTGCGAGCAGTCTCCAGGAAGCTCCTCACAAGAGGCTTTTTGGTGGGCTTTGGGCCCCGGCAAACAGACACATCCGGAAAAATGCAGAAACTGGAGAAGTCAGCATAGTCGCTACCATTTAGAGACCGAAGCAGATGCATGCCCGAGCCCCTGACCGAGTCTGAAATGGGCCATAGGATCCTGCATCAACGACACTGCGGTTTCGAGCTTTCGGGTTTAGGGCACAGATAGTTAGCACAGGGCACCGGGCCAAGGTGGCTAAACCAGTACCAAGGGCTCATGGTGAGTCCTTGTTCCGGAGTCTCACGGCTGCCTCGGCCCACTTCTCGGCTTCCTTGCAAGGCTGGACAGCTGAGCCTTCAACTTCGAATTAAAAAGCGTGTCAGGGTTTAGGGTATAGGCGATCCAGGGTAGGGTTCAGGGCTTTCGACTCGCACACTCGCACTAGGCAGGCGCGTTCTAGGGTTTCGGGTCTTGTACTTGTTCGAATGCCCTGTTCCGACTGCACCTGCATGTGCGCTCAGCAGGGTCACGGCGTACGCTTAACACTCAGCACTGCCCAAACAGCTCTCCTCGAACTTCGAAGTTTCCCTTCAAGCAGGCTCCCTCGCACGATTCTGTTAGGGCGTGTCAGTGTCGTCGTTCAAGTGTGTCTTCGGGAACGAAGGCCTCGACGTCTTCTGCCATCAGCCATTCAGCCAGTTGAAGGTAGGCGTCCACCAGCAACCTTCTCTAGCTCTGACAACTCACACTGAGACAAGCCGGGCGAGGCACTTGCAAGAGGGCTTAGTCAAGAACAAGACGAATTTCGTGGAGCCCTTCGGTATCCCGAAACGATCTGGAACAAAGCACTCTGCTGGGTTGGCTGGTCACCTTTGGGTCTTGTATACCTGTCCTGGATTCAAGCGAAGTATCACGAGCACAATGGAAGCTGCTCTGCTGACTGGTGCAAGTTGACTAGGACTTGCAAGACTAAGTAGTATGATACCGACTCACTACTTTGAAAGAATCAGAACCCTGAATACCTAGACGAGCATTTCAGGGTTTGAAGGCTTCATCTACTTACAAGTCAGAGTATACGGCGGAACCCTCAGGAATCATGTCCCAAGATAGTCTGGCTCAAAGCGGCTCTGCCGCTAGGCCGCGCTCAGCCCTCTCCGCGAGGCTCCTGAGCACAGCAGTGGCCCCCGGGCGATCACCTCAAGTCCAGGCGCAATCATCTCGAGTATGGGGGCGATGTAGCAGCATGTGCAGTGTAAGTCTGTGGGGTTGTGGCTCTATCGATGGTGACGCCGATCCGGACGGATCCAGGCGATGCTCCTGCAGTACGAGGTGGTCGCGCTCTGTCAAGAGTCTGACCGATTTCGATTGCCATCCTTGCATCTATGCTTCAGGCCTTCCAATCACGAAAGCCTCGGAAATACCGTGCAGTGCCAGGCACCGCGATTCCGCAGGATCATGGCATGCATGATGGAATAAGCGGCAACACGCTCACCTGGCACAATTCAGGCAAAGCGGAAAGAAAGGAATGAGTAGATTCAAACTTCTCAGCGTCCTGCTTTGGACAGTCAGTGAGGCCAAATCAATGGTGATAACCGTGTTAGTCACGAGTCACGAGTCATCATAAAGCGGAATGCTCGCAAATGTTTCTCCTGTCTTCGGCTGGCCTTTGGCCCCCGTCGGTCCACGCGCACGAGGCCGTTCCCCGCTTGTCCACGGGTGCCCACCTGGGTTGCGGATTGCGGTAGCCGAAGAATGATGACCGTCCTCAAGGCTTTCTGAAGATGAAAGTGCCATATGCACAAAGCCCTCAAAGAGAACTGAAGGACACAGGACAGCACATCCACTAAACCCGAGGAATCCCGAAGATATTCGCAGCAAAGAGGAAGGCAACAAACACTGGTCCCTTAAGTCTACCCTTTGGGACATTGTCCCGGCCACTTTCTGAAGGGTCGGTCAGCTCTCAGGCATGAGACCCTGGTCGTCAGGTCCATCGACACGCCGGCTTGTGCGCAAAACATGTCGTAGTTCGGACGATCTTGTGCACAAATACAGGCTTCTGCTGCAAGTAGCTTAAAGCTCCGGACCATGCTTGGCCAGCTTGAAGATGTTGCCACAACTCCATTTAATCACCGCGGGGCAGGGTTTGGTTCTCATAGAGGGGATGGTTGTACGGGCGCCGCTACTGTACTGGACCCCATGGTTTGGGGATGAGCCCAGGTCTCCGCCGCTCTCCTGTTTACGAATAATAAACCCTCAATCCCTACCTAAACCTAAACCCTTCCAAACCCAACCCTATACAAAACCCTAAACCCTAGACCCCATCAGAACTAAAACCCAACCCTAAGCCCTAAACCCCATCAGAACTACCATGGTTCCGAGGCACAGAGCTCGAAGGCCAAGCGCGCCAGGGAGCAGCGCAGGGGCCCCTGGAAGCTCGACATCGCTGCGGCTTTGCACCTGCATGAGAGGCCCCCGTCAAACGTTACGGCCCTCCACAGCAGGGGACCCCGAGCCCCAGATAGCTTCAACCCTAAACCCTAAACCCTAGTTAAACCCCACACCCTAAACCCCTAAACCATAAACCCTAAACCCCTAAACCCTGAACCCTAAACGGCCCTAACGAAGTTTCGAGACTAAGCCTCAGACCCTGAAGCTCAAACCCCCCGGAACCCGAAGATGTCAACTGGCTCTCCTGGCATAGTGTACGGGTAGTGCTCTACATTAGGATCCCTTTTCAAGTCCCCAAACTTGAAAAGGGACCCTGATTTGGAGAATTACCCGTATCTCGGTACGGCTGTGTGGGATGAAAGCCCCGACATCCGAAAACCCCAGGCCTCACTTTCCTCGAATCTTCCCACTACCACTACCACCAGATCCCTTTTCTGGGAGTTAGGATTAGGGGGAC